ACAAGAAGAAAATATTCCAGACTTTTGAGGTTTTTTGTATTGCATCAAGAATGTTAAAAAATTCATATTTTATCGCGATTGCTTTCTCCATTGAAATTTATCATATTTATAATTAAAATTAATAACGAAAGGAGCACTTCTGGTTTAATTGCAACTAGACAATTTTAGAAAATGACGTCATAAACGACGCATTTTCTACTAAGGAGGAGGGGGGGGGGATTTTAATGCCTCTTGGGGGTATCTTCGATACATTTACATATTAAACCAAAATTAGATACCAATAATAATCATGAAACTTTATATATTAAACCAAAATTAGATACCAATAATAATCATGAAACTTTAAAGACGTATAACTTTGTTTGTATGACGTTGTGGATATTGTTTGGTCTACAGGGAATTAAGAAGGTGCTTAAAATGATAAATGACCTTAATAAAGTATTTGGATATCTGTTAACACTTTTTCCTACTGCCAATTCTTTAAATATACTCTCCTAAACATTTAAACACAACTACCTCTCATAAAAAGTATACCCCACTGTTACGTAGTGCTAGAATTTACATAACACTTAACATATATTTTCTTAACGATAAGATAAATATGTATACATAAACATGGAAAGCAACATGGGGGGCCTTTAACATCAAAAATATGCAGTGGCAAAATATAAATAAATTCAAGATATACATAAATATACAAAATAGCTTACATTTCATCTATAAGCATCTGTATGTCTTAAACTACGCTGCTTTAACCAATGCGATCTTAAAGAGACGGTGTTATGTTTTGGGTAGGAATATATAAATAAATATATAGGAATACCTCGAAATGGACAACAACAGAAAAAATATTTCAAAAAATGATATAAATTATTTCATAAATCGAAATAAGAAACCTATAATTAGCATTTATTGGAACAAACTTAGTCACCTTTTATTTCAAACAGTTTAATTTTCTATACACTTTTTCCTCCTTTCCCGTTCACAAAAGCATATAATATGGTCAATCGAAGAGTTGTTGAGACAAGTCTCGGGAAATCATTGATAAAATAAAAGTAATCAAGTCGCTTGAGCAAATCACTACCAAGAGAACTATATAAATAACATAAAAGTTAATTTCTATTGAAAATATCACCGCTTAACAAGATCTTCTATTTACGATACTTCACCGATCGTAAAATACGAGCTGAAGGCGTTTTATGAGACGCTGTGACTTAACGGCTCGTTTTCTGCGACAAATGGCCGTTATAAAAGGGAATTTATGAAGTGTTTTATGAAGAATGAGTGATTGTTAACTGTTGATCAAAGTCTGGCTAATAAAGAACGAATATTATTTTTTTTTATTTGTATGATACTTGTATTTATCTATTTCATGTAAATTCAATTAGTATTAGCCGATTTATTTTCTTTTAGAGTGGCTATATACTATTAAATGATTTGGGGTATTTTTCTTTTTGAAAATCAGATATCGATCTGAATTGGCTTTTTATTAGGTTTTAAATCATGATGAACAACAATTGAATAGCTCCAATTTGTTCATAAATATTAAATGTGACATCAATAATAAATGTTATTGTAGACCCCCACTTTAAGACCGATTCAGAATCTTTTTGATGTCTAAAATACTTATTTAAATTCACTTATACAATATACAAACCATTGATCATAGCCTACAATACATACAGACGTTATTATTTATATATTTGCTTTGTATACACGGTAGTTTATAACAATATCATTAGCCTATATATCTTGACATATTTCATACAAGTTGAGCGACATAGACCCCTTTTTGCTGTCGTGTAATAAATGAGTGGCTTTCATACTTGGTGAATGTAATACATATGTTTTCCTTGTCAGATTTATCCCTGCCAAACTGTCTTATGTCGTATAGTTAACTACAGAGTCGTGTATGTTATAAGTGAGTTTTCTTGTAAATTTAAGCAAAATCTGAATACTTAACCCTTGCTTTTTGAAAAAAAGAAACGGTAGAATACGTCAGTGAAACAAACTACAGTCCATATTACAATGCGAGTTTTAGAAAACACCCTACTTGCATTTTCAATAAATAAATAGGATCAGTGGGTTTTTACCTGTTTACATGTAAAATGAGAATTGGTATGGCAATTAACCACCGATTTAGTTTATTTAATCGTCGATTTAAATTGGACAGGGTGTGCTTACTTTTTCTTGAACATACGATACCACTTCTCGTGCATTTTGGAAAGAGTTTACATAGCCATTAACGTTCGTATTTTGTACTGATATAATATTATGTCCATGTGCCACTTTAAATTTAATTGATGCCAGTGAATGTGTAAATTACTGATATGTTTTGTACTTATTAATATAACTATTTAAAGACAATAAAATATTGTGGGCGTGTAGATCCAAGTAAAACAAAAAGTGGAAAATTGTTATCTGACCTTTCCGCTTGAAAATGTTGCAATTCTACATCGTTACACTTTCTATGTATCTTAATTACTAACGCTACACTTGAACCATTGGAAAGAAACATACAACTCTTAACACTATTACCTAAGCATTTTTTTTATTGTCCTTAAAATACTTTTTGTATTATCAACTTTGAGGAAAGGCATGGCATGGCATTGTTTAATTCCATTGTTTAAATTTAAGGCTTAAGTCCTTTTATATTGAATAATAACGTATAGGTACTTTGAGATTTCGCAAATCATGAACTTATTTTATTTATTGATTAATTTGATTCAGCTGCTCTGCAGTTGTGTACATAAGCCGTTTTATATTCTATTTGTCTGCTGAAATCGATAAAATAAACACACTGTCTTTAATAATTTTTTTTATTGTTTACCTATTTAATCAAAGATTTAACATTATGCACGATAAATTATTTAGGATACCTATATTCTTAATATCTATGGTATTTAATTAGCTATTTAATTTATTTATTAAAACATTATTTTTATATACTCAATAATGAAAAAAAAAACAACAAAAAGAAAACAACTCCACAGATAACAATATCCCAAATGCCCTAATATTTTAAAATATTGTATTAAGTTTTATTGCTAATGAATAAATTTTACCTGATAATTCATAGATTAAAATGTCAAGGATTTTTCAAAGGATAAGTAACTTGTTCATAAAGGGATAATTCACGGATTAAAAGGATAAGTTACTGATGTTATATAGCTGATATTATATAGCTGACGGGGGAAATAATATAATAGATCTGACAGGATCAATTAAGTATTAACTGTTCGAACTACATATTATATCATGTAATTTCGATGTGATTGAACTTTGCAACGTTGATAATATCTAAGTCACCAACCTATTAGTGTGAATATTGAATATTGTAAATTATGAATGGATCAAAAATAGAATATACTATTATTCTAATACACATAATTAACGTATATCAAACAAATCTATTTATGTTTATCAATTTGAACATTGTAAAGCTGCTTATATACAAATGTAATACTGAACTCGTGAATGAATCGAAAGTAGGCCAGACTTAACATATATCAATTAAAAAAAAAAATGACATAATTACACAATAATGAATAGCATATTGTTACACAAAAATATCGTATAGAATATGATTTAAAAAGAAAGACAATCTGTATTTTTCAAAGCGTGTTTGCTTGGGGATATAACATATATATATGTAACCATATTGATAAGCGACACAATCCAGAAATCATTAACAATTAAAAACCGCGTTTTCGCATCTTACATAAACAGCTTCCATGTTGAAAAGATACGATCTGGCATGATATTTAAATATATTTTTATATTCTCTTTTAATTCACGTTAGACGTATGACTCACTGCAGGCCAGATTGATTTTTTTTAAAAATATATTTTTATTATTTTGCACCATGTAAACAATTTTGTTACATGTACTTGTTTGATTTTGATGATGGACAAGTGAGAGGGTTTATCATGAAATTTTGTTAATCTGTTCCTTTATTATTTCAAAAGACAATTTTAAATACATGAATACATGATATAACCCAATTCTGATCCTTTATAATTTCAAAAGACAATATTAAATAAGAATACATGATATAACCCATAGACCATTTCATATGTCATTCTATCGGTTTCTAAAAAGTTTCATTGGAAAATCAATATATATATTTTTTTAAATTTTGTCCTGTTAATCAATTTATGCATGTATATTTCGTGTATTCATTTACAAATTATATATCTTTGCATACAGTGTTCTTTATTTAACATAACTAACGATACTGTTTATATACAAAAATATTAATAAATTTACCAGGAAAATAGCTTTCAAAGGTTCCTTGGAATAAAAGAAAAACCCAACGCCCTTCATTTTCTTTCACAAATCACCCCATTTTTTCTTGTCAACTAACGTGTTGAAAAGCGTTAAAATAATTGCCTACTTGCAATGCAACATTATACTTTTTATCTATCAGTTTTACAACATGCATAAGACTGATTACTCATTAGTTGCATTCCCTCGAAACGCGAATTAACTTTTTTAACGCTGTTAATGGCCAGTATCAAGTCAATTGCAACATGCAAATACGCTTCTGGCAATAAAAACAATAATCAACAAAAAATAAAAACACATATATCCTCATTCGCCAGAATACCCCCCAATTACTCTAATAATGATCACCAAGTTTCATCATAAACTAAAGAAAACATAGTACGTGACGCCCGCGGTGAGCTTTCTGAAATCAATATATCGGTGGAATTGAAATGAATTGAATCGAGGTCATGATCTCTAATGCAAATAGTTCCCACTGGTCTAATACATTACGTGTGCGTGTAAATAGATATAGCAGATAATAAGTGGAATTATAGGTCGTAATTTGGCTATACATAATTTATGCAGAATCAAGGGATGTCTCCTGGATGATAATACGTAATAATATCATAACGCGTGATTTCAGATAGATTCTCGCTGTTTGACTCAGTCGCCACCACACGCATTCGCATTCAACATGTAAATAAATACACTAGAAAAATAAGTTCGCTTACCTGAGCTATACTGCATTCTTCTCATCCACGGATATATGTGTGGTGGATTCGAGTCGCCAGCCCTTGGACTCGGACACTGTGCTTCCTGTATGTTTCTGTGATCCACAGGGGTCGGGGTGTGACTTGGGGGACTATTCGAATGTGCTGAGTTGGGCCTATTTTCATCTATAGAATCATTGTAATGTCCGCTACTGAAATAACTGTTGTTATTATTAGATGTGGTATTTGATCTCATCTCAACTTGGTTCCTTTCCCCGACACTCTGTAACGAGGGGGGTGAGGAACATGGACTGCTGTTAGGTAGATGTGTAAGCCTAGGTGTGCCGTAATAATCTCCATTCTGCTCGCTTAACCTGTCTCCCCGGGCCGAATACGGGTACCGACCACTGGCATAGCCCGCGTACACACCACCGCCTGTTCCATAATTTCCATTTCGCTCGTATCCCCCTTCCGAACAATTCTCCAATGTCGGGGTCTGTCCATAACATGTAGAGAGCGAATTGACAAAATATGAGCTCATCAGGCCGTTTTGTGTGGGTAATAAGCGGCCGTAAAGCTGTCGCGAGGCCTCACTATACTAGCAAGCCGATGAATTATGACTACAATGATTGCTTGAACAATTTCACAGCCAGCACTTCACTTCTGAAACGAACCAATGAAATAGTCACGTGGTTTTATAGCCCAATGAATCGCCGCCCCTACAATGTGTAGGGGAAAGAGGTCGCAGTATTTGGATTTCACTGTTTAGAATGTGATCTTAGTTCTATTAACGAAATCTAAGAGAATATTACACAAAAACTAAGAGAGAGGATAAAATGTAATTAATAGCTTAATTCACAAAGTGTCATTATAATTTTTAATATTATTTTTTTAGATGAAACGCTAAATCTGGGATTTAAAAAGGTAATTAATAAAATGTAAATCATTGTGAGATTTAAGTGCTTTGTTATTGTTAAATTGTGTCTGAAAGTGCGACAAATCACGTTATTGTTAATTTTCATTAAATCTATATGTTCTGTTTCAAACATGAATCACCGCCTTCGACTAACACACTTCTATATAATTCTATTTATTGACACTTTTTCTAGATTGTTTAAGGCGAACCTTTGTACTGATAAAATCCCTCCGTGAATGTTCTGATTATTTATTCATTATGTTTTAAGAATATTGATAGTTACACTCTTATTTGATTTATATAACGAGACAACATTGGAGTCTGTATTTTGATTTGTTATTTTGATACAATCTGGTCCATGATATTTGCGATTATACCAGAGAGTGACAGAATTATTAACAGCTATACGCTATACATGATAATAATTGAATATTAAATGTATATATTTACAAAGAAAATAAATATGATATATAATATAAATTTATTTAGATTTCAATAATCTATTACATATATAAATTAGGTCTTAAAACCTACTTACCTTAAAATGAATAAAATATCGCTAAATGAAATATTTTACGAATTATGCGTATTCTGATAATTAATAACGAAACTAATTATCGTATCTCGAAAACTGTTTATATTTCTCCACAAAAACCCAAATAATTTATTTTTAGTGTTGTTTAAAATCCGTAGTTTGTTGAAATTATTCGAGCAAGCACACTTTTCAAAACCTTCAGAAATTAGAAATTTAAATGAAATGCTTATTACACAAATAATCGAAAAGCCCTGCAAATACATTTATGGAAATTGCACAGTTGATATTCATTTATTCTAGATCATCTAAATCAACTCTTAGTACGTAAAATAGGTAATGTGTCAATTTTCGTTTAATAATTTAATATTGGTATAACTTTTTTTCGCTATATTTAGCATAAATTATCTTACTAATGATGTTTACTAAGCACAAAATTAAATATAAAATGTGCACATGATTTATTCACATTTAATACAATTCGATGAATTTATCTTTAAATTAAAATTTATTGATAAAAAATAAATATATAAAAAATTATCAAAATAATTAAACTAATAAGAACAATTATTAAATTGGGTATGATGAATTTGTTATTTAAAAAAAAAAAAAAATAACACTGATAAACATTGGAGTTCATCGCAAGTGCCCATGGAGCAAATAATGTATCAATACATTAATAAAGCTGTTTAACCTACTCGGTTTGTTTACATTAAGATATTATTTGACATACTTACAAGCATTATAGCTGCCATATAATTTTATAGCTCCTATCCCCCGTGTGTTCATTAAAACAAACCAAATTTGTTTTCCGTGTAACTTGTTACGGATTAAAGCTCCTATTGATGTTCTACTTGCCACTTAAAATTAATTTTTACGGAAGATTTGACATCCATCAAATGTCATAGGAGGCGGAAGAAATTTATGGCCGTATCGACGACCTAATGTCCAGCCCGAGACAGAACTGTATTGTATAGACCGTGTCGTTATATATTCACTACAACTTTCCTCAATGACTTCTTTGTATTGGATATGTACTTCATTGATTTTTGATAGCTAAAGTTTATTAAAAGTCTAGGCAAGTAAAGACGATAATTGAAGTAAAATATTTTATTAAAGGGATATTACGAGGATGGTTATGTTTCAAAAATGAATTCTATTCTACCAAAGAACAATTTTAAACCAACAATACACATATGAATTATATTCATTGTTGTTACGTATACTTCAAAGAAGTCATGAAATATAAGTTTATTGTCTAGTGTACTGTTTGAAAACATTTCCTCGCGTAACTTTTAGTTTATTTCGAAATCTTAATTTTATTCATTAACATTGAAGGAGAAAATGTGTTGTTCCCCTTTTAGAAGCTATCGTGTCGACCAGGATAACAAATTGTTATTTCTACTCCGGTCAATTCATGTATAAATAAATTTGTTTGAATAATTAAAGTACTAATTCAAATTGATGAACAAATTACATTAAAATAAAGAAATGCGATTTTAATTATTTTCTACGCGCAATTTATTCACACAGCTTTATCTAATTTAGCATATCGTCTAATTTATTTAATTAATATTCGTGTGGAAAGGAATATGGCGAAAAAAATATTCGTTATGCTGTTCTAGCTTGATATTTAAAAGTGGCTGAGAACATTGTGCGTTATTGTTATTTGAATATTTTAACACTATCCTGAAGATAATATAACAAATTACACTAGAAAGATTACATGACCGAGGCCATAGTTTGCATTAAAATTAGTACAGGCGATCACACATTATATATACATGTTGTCCTTAATAGACATAAACAAGTATAATTCTTATCTAGAAGATGTCCATGCATGGAACCAGGAATGGGATTCTACAGAATGAACTTTGAGGATATTAAATACGTTTTATTGGTGACTATTTTATCTTTTGGCTTCTATTCTGAGTATGCGGATATAACTTTCATAGCCTCAAAGTTTCTTTATTTACAATAGACTCAAAAATATGTTTCCACAGAATGAACATCAAAGAATGATGCAGAACGTAACATTAATAAAGTCGTAGATAATTGTTCTTTATTCGTAAGTATTTACATCTTGCACTATTGGTTTAAACAGTATTTATTTAACATATAATGACATATTAACAATACATAATAAACTATATGGATTCGGAAACAAGCTATGAGGCTTATATTAATCCGTCTCCATTGATGGTTAGCCTATGTGGCCTACGTTCTTAATTCCCAGAGGCAACATACTTTCGATGTTTCCGTATTTTTAACTGATCAGTTGGAATGAAGAATACGGAATCAGAATTATGTAAATGAAATGAAATGGGGTTTAACGTCCTGCTTTTCTGCACCGACCGGGATGATGAAGACGAGGTCAGTATTACGTAAAGCATATTTAGTACCATTCGAAATGGATTAGTTGTTCAAGAAACGGATATCTCGTGACGTTAATAAAAGTTCTGGAAATTTTCTTTATTACGTAGCACGTGCAGCCTAACCACAGTAAAGGAAATTACCATCCTTATCGGGTCAAGTCACGAAGTAATAACCCCTTTAATTTTAGTAATACTAAATAAATGACCTGATGATTTCTGTGACCTACTAAGACAAAACAACAATTCTTCAAAATTATTCTGTCTTTAAATTTAATAATGCCTGTAGAAAATGACACAATTAGAGCAAAAAACGATTCCCATGGTTTCTCCTGCTGATATCTTGGCACTAAAAAACCATAAAACACTGAAGTCATTATCAGTCATTAGCAACTCGTGTGATATCCCTTTTTATGACTTTTTCATTCATTGCCTGAAAGTCACCGATTTACATAACCAATACAACCCTTAATAAGATTAGATATCATCTTTTGTTGTAGGTCAAAAAGCAATGGATCATGATGGTCTGAGATCCAGTAGTTACAGGCGAACTACCATCGGAAAAAAGTACTTTATTGCTTTATTTTATGAATAATTATTACTTGCGCAATATCTTAGCATATAATTTAGTTGTGTGATAATTACAAAGCTAGCTTCGTAGTCACGATTATCACAATTTCACTAACCGTAACAGTGTAATAGTGCAAATTTCTATTTATATAAAAACGGAAACACGTTGCTCGTTTTAGCTGAAATTTACTCAAACAGGAATAAATTGACCCCAATTTTCAATAACACTTGCGTCGTTTTAAAGAACTGAAACTAAAAAAATCCAGAACCAATAATGAAAGCACCTTTTTATTTTTAAAAACTTTTTTCCATATAAAACGTATTCGGAGCACGAATGTTTTTTTTTTCTGCTGTTGATACATGACACGATTTTCCAATTACGATGTATTGCTGCTACAAAGAGGTTCTTGAACTCAAGAACTTTCGAAAACAAAATGGGATTTGAATTCTTAAGTCAAACAACCTGTCCATTTATCCGATGATTATGGTCGTGCGAGAGACAGGGTAATCGGGAATCTTTTAGAATATCACATACCACATGCGGTTTGCTTTTTGTATTGAAAAGGTGAATGCAAAATATACTGGTCTTGGTGATTTTCTTTTTGCAAGTTAAATAGAAATTAGGGAAATGCATAGCAGTTTTCTTAGAACACAGAAAATGGATGATGAAGTAACTGTGAATAAATAGAAAGAAGACATCATTAATGTCCAATGACAGATTTTGATAAAACGAAAAATAAAGCTCACTTTAAGGTAACCTTTAAAGGGCAATTTAGGATTCCAGGGGCTTTCCAGCAAATAACAATGTTGCATCCTTAAGGCAGTGGAGCTTGCGCTTCTTTGCATATTACCCCAGGTTGTTAGAGTAAACCCCCGTTCAAACTAAAGTTAAATAAATATGTTATTCCAGAAGTCGTTTTCATCACATCTTTTGAAACACTTTGTTCTAGAAGGTTGAAGATGGTACGTGCCATGCTCTAGAGAAGACTTCTGACATGAGTTATTGGAAAACACCGATATGCTCTTGTCAGAACTCTGTGCTTATTTCACCAAAACATTTCCACTTGGAGTTTTGCCACCTGTTCGTACCGTCAATTCAGTACCACCAATGGTGATTTGCCAGTTAATGTGGACTGTACGCGTGTACATCTTGCTCAAGTCGCATCTTTCCAGATGGCAAGACTAAACATAAACATCTAGCGCAAGTCACAACAAATACTTATTATACTATATAGGTAAATTACACACCTGGAACGTCGATTTTGAATCATAT